TATGATGCCCAGTGTATGGCCTTTTAGCTCCCCCCTACAAATACATTGACAGGGGCTACAGTTACACAGTTATGTGATAAAGATTAGAGATGACACTAATTTTGTTCCCACTATCTGTATCAGGCCAATAGAAGAAAATAATGGGTTGGATACCTGAAAAAAGTACGATTGTGATCAGATTTTGTAACATGTCTACTTTTAAAATTACAGAATAACGTAAAGCGAAGTAACGTAGGTCACTTAATAATAACAGTAGCCACATGTGTAACCTTAATATAATAACTAGCGATGATAATGGAATAATATCGGTATTGGCAGATAATTGCTTTAAAAAAAGATGTTTACATTTGACTGATTACATTGACTGATATTTTTTTAGCAGTTTGACCTTCTTGCTTTTTAAAGTGAGTTGTAGTGCAGAAACGACCAAGACAATCTCAAATGTTTAGATTCTTCTAACACCCTCATGTTCAAAGCAGAGGTTTTGAAATGCACATTCTCTACATCATCACCTGTTAGAGTCAGTTTGGACCAATCAGACGTCAGGTCATGTGCAAATCCAGTGTTTTGAAACTTGGAACCAGATTTGCACAAATGTTTTGAATTATTCACAATGAGCGTCTCTAGTGAAGTGACTTCCATTAAAAACAGCTCATTTAAAAGCATATTTGTTGAAGTATTAGTGTCGGTGTTTCAGTGCTCAGTATTTCAAAAGAAAAGCTAGTATTGTGCCATCTCTAGTAAAGATTGACCAGTTTTACAACAGAGTGGCTGTTGTCCATAATTAGAGAGAGCTGCTGAAAAGAGGTTTTGGGCTGAAGTACGCTGGGGGCAGATAGACTGTGAGACATCTCGCACATTGGATGTCAGAACAATGGCCCCATTTCACTAATTGACTCACTGCATTGCACTCGTAGTGCCGTAGATGCTGCTGTGCTGTTTGAATGGACCTCTGTTTCTTATTGTCTGCTTAAATGAGTCAGTTTTAGCAGGATATGGGGAGGCTGGTGGGAGTTTTCCTTTGGGTCCTATGCACTAGCTTGGTGCTGCGGGGCATGACTCCTGCTTTATCAGCTTCTCGAGCTTTTTTCCAGTTTTCTCTGCCGCCTGTCCTCCAGCATCATGACATCATCACTTACCCACTTCTCTCTCTCCACTCAAGACGGTGCTGCTAATGGGGTTTTTGTCTTAGTGCCAGATAAGGGTAATTTGGTAACATTGGGCTTGTGCAGTCCTGCAGGTAAATGCACGATGCTATGTGTTTTTACAGTATACGCATGGCAGTGTCTCTCTTTGGAATTGCTTCAATTATTAATGTAGATGCCATGTCAAGTCTGTCAATCATTAGGCTGCCTGGATTGCTTGCTATGCTACCAAACTTGTGTTTGTGCACAAAAACATGCTCCTCATTCTCACGTTCTTTATTTGCATGCGTAGTATGTGTTGTTTACTTTCTTTTAGCATTTAAAGGGATATGCTAGTGTTTTTTTGACCTAATCTCTGTCTAATGCATGATTGAGTACCATCATTTTTTGTGTTTTACCTTGTACTCTGTAAAAGAAGAGAACACTTATTGATTGCTTAGGCACCTATCTTTTGGATTTTGCATACGTCAGTTCAAAAAGAAAACGTTGGACAGTGAATGAAATGCAAATAAAAACAGAAATAGAATCTGCAGTGATTGGGGAAATTGACCTGTAATTAAGAAAAACAAAATATATTTGATATTTCACATAAACAACATCATTGTTTTTTGTAAATATATGCTCTTTCTGAAATTCAGACCTAATTGGGCTCAGGCTTATCTGAAATGGACTCAACCATTTAGATTATTTATGAAAATAATTGATGTCTCATTCTCCGGGCCAAAGAAGAAAAGAACCATCCATGTTGCTACCAGCATAAAGTTCTGTCATAACATGGGGGTGTATTATTGCCCATTGTTTGGATAACTTACAAGTCTGTTAAGGCACCAATTAATGCTGAAAGATTTCTATGCATTTTGAAGCAAATGTATGCTGCCTTCTAGATGACCTCTTTTTCAGGGACGTCCATGCTTATTTCAACATGAAAACTCGGGCCACATTCTGCATATGTTACAACAGCATGGCTGCATAATCAGAGAGTGCAGATGCTTGACTGGGCTGTCCACACCTGTCTCCCATTGAAAACGTGGCACATTATGAAGCACAAAATATGACCGCAAAGGCCACATATGGTTGTACAGCTGATGACTTGGACAACATAAGAATGGCAAAAAAAATTCTGCCTTTAAGTTTGTGTCTTTAAGTCAAAAGGTTTTCTGTTCTTTTCTCAGTACAAGAAAATTGTCTGTGCTAACTGACTTCTTTACTTTTAATGCAAGTCAATGGAACCAGACTTTTTTTCAAGTCATTTGGGGTCATTTCTTTTAGTCCATTCTTCATGAAATTTACACATAATGTAAAAGGCAACAGGCACTTTCATAATATGTCAAAAACTGAAAAACGACAAAAATGGAGATGATTTTGGAAGGTTTTCTTCAGACAGCAGTGATATGCTACTGATGCAAAACAGAGAATGATGAAAAATAATGGAGTACTCCATTAACATAAGTTGGGCCTCTTCAGGTAGACTGAGGGGCAGCGGTCATTAGTTGATTGTCCTGATGTGGTAAACAAGGAGCAGCATGGCCCTCAGTACAGACGCCTCCTCTAAATCTCCTGCTGTCCTTTAAGTAGAATGCTGACCATCTGCTCAGCTGTGAGGTCCCCAAATCCTCAGAGAGCTCAGCGAAGTGCACCTCTAATACCTCACTGTGGATCTTTATGCAATCTGGTTAGGGGCGTAGCAGTGCAGAGCAATATGGAGGGAGGGTGTTGCCGTGTTATTATGCATGTGTGCGCATTTGTGGTGTTTTATCAGCGAGCACTGTGGGCAGTCAGGGACATGCTGCCAGGATATGAGAGAGTAGGATGGAGTTTTGCGTTGGACCCCAGCTGGAGGCTGATCTGTTAACTTTACCCTCCTGCTTACTGGTGTCATTTCCTATTATTGATTTTAGCTCTGTTTCAGCTCCTCTCCCACTAATGAGTTTCTGGCCTGGATAAGTACTTTTCACAAAGGAACCAGATTGAATTGACAGAGGGAGAATAAGTGCTGCTGCAGTTATTGTTTTCCATCATTGTTCTGCTTCAGATTATTAATAGTAATAGTTTACGATGATAATTATTGTTTGGAGCTTGGGTAAAATTTCACATGCATTACTGATGGTCCAGTCTTACGGAACATTCGCATGCAAAAGTTTGATTACATTTGTTGATGTTCAAAGTGAAAATGTTAATATATAAACATATTTAATGTACGGTGGACCATAATGTTTGTACATGCCACATTTTATGCTTTATTTTTTCCAGTATGTTAAATTCATGTACTGTGTACTTATTTTCACTTGTCAAACTTTGATGTGTTTTACTTAATAAACAATTATAAAAATACTCAAAAAAGTAAAGTATATAAATATGCATTTTTTGGCCATAATAAAATTTTTGGGCTTAAAATCCTCCAAAAAGCTTGTTACATTGTAACATTTTTAGATTCAATCCTACATTCAATTCTAAGGTCTTATGTCTGCAGAGCTCTAATTCTATTATAACTGTCTCAAAAATATATAAATAAATTTCAAAACAAAAGATTTTAAAGTAGCATATTCTTGTGCAAAACTGTGAACTTGCACAAAAGAGTGCAACTGAGTTATAAACAATACACAAATGGATAGGATGCTCACATACAGGCAAAGCTTTAGTCATTGACTGTGTTTTTTTAGGAAAAAAAACAGCAAAAACAAGTAAATGATGGACCCGTTTCAAACATTTATGTTTATATGATTTTTAGTCTTAAACTTACTCTTAAAATTAATTGAGTTGTGGTGAAATTTGATACATCACATGTTTAATAATTTCCTTAAGAGTCAGAATCAGATTGAGTTGTTTTGTGGTCAGAGATGAATACCTCTACACACTACGTTTACTGATGATGAGCCACAGTGCAGTCCGAGTGGGTCTCTCTAAGAACATGAGTCTGGCAGACACAGAGACTTGTCTCTGATACACACACCTGAGCCCGCTGGCACGACTCCAGGCTCAGCTGTGGCGGCAGCATTCCCGTGATGAGAGACAGACAACAGCAGACAGGGGCACATTGACCTCACAAGAGCAAATAAATAGAGAGCTGCTCTCCAGAGGCATGAATGAGCTGCTCTTTTAGAGCACCTAGGTCCATTTGTGTTACACATCCTTTTAGTAGGGCTTTGAAAGAGAGCTTATCTCCATGTTTTGCAGGTGTATATTTCAAATGATATGACTGTCAACGTGAAATGTTACATCAAATAATTCTTCCTTTTGTTTATTTATCATGGCAAATGAAAAAAATGCCAGTTTTATTAAGAAAGAACAATTGAATCAGCAAGTAATTATGTTTTTATTGTCTTATGAAGTAGGATGATCATTAAGGGATTTAGAAATGGATGCCTTTGTTATTGTATACAGAGATGCAATGAATAGTAAGCAGTAAAACCAGTTCAGTCTTTATTAAGAAGATGGCTGTGAATCAGGTTATTGTGTGTCTGTTGAAGAAACAGGCAGCTGCTTATCTTGGCAGCTGACTGATTTGCTGTGCTCTGTAGTGAGCAGATAGTAACCCAGTGTGTGCTTAAAGCCTGAATCTGCCCATTTGTGTTTGTTGATAGAAGCTGATTTACAAGTCCGTTCTAATCTCTCTCAAAGCATAGTGGTTTATCTTTACTATTGTATTAGTGTATTTTCCCTATTATGGAGCAACCATGAAGTAGGAAGTCACAGAATGATTAACATATGAATTGCTATATATTGGTTTTTGCTTTCCAATCTTTTCTCTGTTGTTAGGCCATTGTAGTTCATCACGTAATATAATGTTTAGATTAACTTACATGTTTTAACCTCATACTTATTGCTTTCTCTGTCTCTCCCTCTTTTCTCTGGTAGGTGTGATGTCTTGAAACAGTCTCCGGAGCTTTTGAAGGATGTGCAGTGAGTTCTGATGGGAACTGCGGTTCCAATATGAGTGTTCATGATGTTGGAGGAAGACGACGCTTCGAGGACACAGAGTTCACCCTGCGCATCTACCCTGGGGTCATCGCAGAGGGCACCATCTACTGCCCGGTCGCCGCCCGCAAGAACACCTCGGCCGCCGAGGTCATCGAGCAGGTCATTGACCGGCTGCAGCTGGACCGAACGAAATGCTACGTCTTGGCAGAGGTGAAGGAGTTTGGGGGAGAGGAATGGATCCTCAACCCCACCGATTGCCCCGTGCAGCGCATGATGCTGTGGCCGCGCATGGCCCTGGAGAATCGCTTCAGCGGCGAGGATTACCGCTTCCTGCTGCGCGAGAAGAACCTGGACGGCTCCATCCACTACGGCAACCTGCAGATGTGGCTGCGCGTGACGGAGGAGCGGCGGCGCATGGTGGAGCGCGGCCTCTTGCCACAGCCGCTGCAGAAGGACTATGACGACCTGTGCAACCTGCCCGACCTCAACGAGAAGACGTTGCTGGACAACCTCCGCAGTCGCTTCAAGCAGGAGAAGATCTATACTTACGTGGGAAGCATCCTCATAGTCATTAACCCCTTCAAGTTCCTGCCCATCTACAACCCCAAATATGTCAAGATGTACGATAACCACCAGCTGGGGAAGCTGGAGCCGCATATATATGCGGTTGCGGATGTAGCCTATCATGCTATGCTGCAACGCAAGCAGAACCAGTGTATAGTTATCTCTGGGGAAAGTGGCTCGGGCAAGACCCAGAGCACCAACTTCTTGATCCATCACCTCACAGCACTCAGTCAAAAAGGCTTCGCTAGTGGAGTGGAACAGATCATTCTTGGAGCTGGACCAGTGTTAGAGGTAAGGCGAGGAGAAGGAATGCTCAGAATTGATCGAAAGCCTTTGAAGGAAAGCTTGGTGTTATGGGTGCCCATAGCATGTTTATTTTTTCCAGTGTCTACCAGTTTATAGGCTGCCATGAATAAATTCTGCTTTTGAAGCAAGAATTTGCTGTTAAATTTCAGGGTGTGAGGGCTGCACGATATGGATGAAATACCAGTATCGTGATAATACTGATGCCTATTGCGTTACTGCAGTAAACCCAGCAATATATAAATAATGCAATGATGAAGTGTTTTTTTTTTTTTTTTTTTCACCAAAAGTCACTTTTGTCACATTATATTTATCCATTATGGATGATGAGTTCATATGATTTGAAGAGTCACCTTGATTCATCAGAACACCCACAGAAACACTATTCTGGAACTGTGATTGGTCAAGATCCTCCCAGCACACATTAGCGGGGCTCATTTGCATATTGTAGCTTTCTCTGATGTCATTATTGCAAATAGGCCTGTCACAATCATGAAATTTTAGCACATAATTAATATTCATGTAAATTGCAATCAAGGATTAAGAGTAAAGGCCAAATTACTTTAACTGTATTGTTTCCTAGCAGCTCTCAATTAAACTCTGGCTCAAATAAACAAACATTTACTCACTATTGCGCTCTAAAAGTGTGACAGTCAGAAGTTATGAACCCCTGCTTTCTTTTCTTTACATCTGTACACATTCAACATTTGGTTTGTTACAACATAAACATGTGACCATAGATGCTAACAACAGTGGGAAATAATCACAGTCAGCTTAAATGATCAAATAATTGTGATCTGACAATTATATAACAGTTGTGACAGGCCTAATTGCAAAGGCCAGGATCAAAAGCAATAGCAATAACTATATGCAAGCAACATATCATGCAGCCCTAAATACAGTGCGCTGTGCTGCCATTGCGGTATCTACATGTAGATATGCGAGTGTCTTGTCCTGGATCCTGAGATTGAGTGACAGATGTGACATAGGATCATATTGGTTAAAGGCTGTACGTTAAGTGTCATAATCCTAACAGAGCATGGCCTTATGGCCCTCCCATCACTGGGCGCTTAGCCTGCCACATGCCCACGGCCAACGGCAGAAGTCCTGCAAGCTCTGGTTGCTGGTTATGTAGGAGTTATTATTTCTAAACAGCGCTGTGATACAGCTGTTACAGTGGCAACAGATTGCACCCACACTGTAGAAAGCCTTACTGCAGCTTAATTCAGCTGCCCGAAAGATTAAAGGTGCCGGCAGTTTCCTTATGTAATATCCACTGTGTACTGAGGCATTAGTCTTGTAGTTTCAGGGGAAACTGTACAGGCCATGCTCACGGAATGTTTGTCTTTATAGTTCAAACATATAGCTTGGTTATTGTTGTGTATGCTGGTGTATTACAGTCTTTGATATCCTTAGCGTCTTGTGTGCTGTGTGATTCTGTTTCCAAATCACTTTGGAGTTTCTATGGCCATGCAGTTTCACAATCAGAGCATTCCATACAGTAGGTACAATAGAAACTAACACGGCGGGTTGTGATGCCATTGATGCTGATCATTCCTGATGGCCCTCGGGGACATGCGGTCTTGTTTTAATAGTACTACAGGTTACTCTAATTACTGTGAGAGCAGTGATGTTTGTTTGCATTACAGTGTTTGATTTTTGTTGCTCAAATCTGTCTTGCTTATGAAGGAGTGGAACTTTTAAAAAGACTGTTTTTTCCATTGGCATTAATAATACAGGTTACACATTAAATGGAACAGCATTGACAATATGGTGAATCTGCCAGCTGATATGTGCACTGTGAAAAATAGAAGAGGTTGATTTTGAAATTTATTCAGGATTTGGACTGAGGAAATAACGTTTTTCTTAATCAGGCCTGGGTTTCCAAAAACGCATCTTAGCACAAATGTAGCTCTTTAATGGTAAAACAGTTATCCCACTAAACACTCTCTCTACCAGTTAAGATGTTCTTAAAGTACCTCTAAAGTCATAATTTAAATAATTAAATTATATATATATATATTCTGAAACAAAAAAAAATATTGTAGGAGCGTCCCTGAATCTTAACACTTATTAACCTCTTATGCTCCAGGGTATATTTTGGTTTGTCCATCTGAATTTACATGACCAGATCTTAAGGCAAATTATTCAGTAACTGCATGAAATAAATGCAAACTTTCTTTTTTTAATAATTGATTTATTTTTTTTGTAAAAGCTCCCCTCAAATAAACAGAACGTTTTATGATCATACACATATTGCTATATGCTTACAATTTACTGCTGAAAGCCAAAAATCTGAGACGCTCTTTATATTATTTTATAAAAATAATGTTTACAGAGCAGATCACTGAAGAGACGCCGTCTGTTTATAGTTTATAGCTCAGATTTGTGGAAAAATGGGTCGACTTTCAGTAGACAAAAAAAATTGTGAGTTCAGCTTTTTTTATTATAAGGGTTTAAAATTACATTACCGATCTATTTGACTGGAAAGAAGACAGTTAACGCTCTCATACGACCCCCACCTTTTGAATGTAGCTTATGAAATATGAAAGTTATGAAGAATATGACGAAGTGCGTTTTGGAACCACCGGTGGTTCCAAGGAGCATAAGAGGCTACATATGCAAAGATTTATAAATATGCCCAACTGTACAAATCGTAAGTGTCCCCTTGCCTCCTGGTTACTGATCCCCTCACCACACTGTGCTTTTTCCTTTGGAGAATACAGCCATCTGTGTTTGAACAGATTGAGCAGATGGAGCACAGGGGAAACAAAAATGTGCTTCCTCTGTAATGTTAATAATCAGAAAATAAACTAGCAATATTTCAAGTTCATCACTTAATACATGTTGCACCATGATTTGAGTTCTTAAAAGTTGAACGGGCCTAAGGAGAGTACAGTGGAGCTGATGATGCCTTGTCTTAGCAGGCTAATAACAGGTTCATAACAGGATCAACACACCACAGAACAGGTTCTGTCACTCCAACACGAGTCACCCGACTTCACTCGCTCCAGATTTGAGTCTTTATCCTCTAAACTTGCGGATACTGAACCTGTGTTGTGGTGTATGACAGTGTTTTAGTCTGTTCACCCAGCAAACAAAGAGTTAGCCGCTAGTGCTAATGGCTCCACCAAAAAAGGAAGAAAAAAGGGAAGCTTCGCGCTCCCTCAAAGCCGAGTTTTTATCCTCTGACTTTGTGTCAGTGAAGCATCAGTGGCCTGGAATTAAGCCTGTATTGTGGGGGTGAACCTGTTTAAGCCTACTTTTAAGGCTAATGTTAGCTTCTAGTGCTAATGAGTACTGTATAGTGCAGGAGTAGGTTACACCCTTAAAAAGATGGTTCTTCAGTTCTTCTTTAGTAAAGGCAATGGTTGTATTTAGAACCATGAGTTTTATATAGAACCATTTCATGCTTAAATGGTTCTTTGCACAGTGAAATGGTTCTTCAGATTGATGGAGAATGTGTTGTATATCGCATAGATTTCACCACATGAAGAATCATTTAAAGTCTGTGAAGAAAATTCACAGATTTGTTTCTAAACACATTATACATGTTGGAAAATAAAAGACTTTAAACTGCATAGTCCTGGATTGTGGAGTTAGACCTTTTCCCCCCCATCCTTTTTTTTGTTTTGGATTTTTGGGTGGGCCTGAAATCATGGCTCGATGACCCTACTGAAGCCATACTTAGCGTGATCCCTGCCCTAACACCATAACATTTATAAAACTAGAAACTAAAATCTAGAATATTATCATTAGCAGTTCTCCCAGTCTAACGTTCCTTGGTTATGCTAGTCAGTAATATCTGTTGCTAACTTATATAAATTGGGCAAAAATAAGAATACTATTCTGTTGCAGTCAGAGAGGAATGACATTGAATCTCTGTTAGGCTCTAGATTGGATTCTGGCTCTGGTGGCTGAAACATGTTTGGCTGTAGCTACAAGTCCAATAAAGCTGCTAGACGGAGCGTCTATTTTTCAGGTCGTAGTGCTGTTTTACTACATTGAAATGAAAGCGAATTCTGTGTGTTTGTATCGGCTGAAGTGCTGCTAGAGGTTTCATTTCAATACAAGAGAAGCTTTCCTGCCTAACCTAAGTGAGCTAACGGCTTATTTTTATTTTCTATATACTTGACAATGTTTTTAATTATCGAAATTTGGCTGGGTGGATAATGACACAACTTTCTGTGGTGTGACAAACTCAGAACACATTATTTCTGCTTTACATGAATTTTAAGCATGAAATGGTTCTATATAGAACTCATGATTCTAAATAGAACCCTTAAAGAACCATCGTTTTTTTGGATTGTGGAGGTTTACAGGTCCACACACAAAAACTGATTCACTCCCTTAGATTTGAGCCTTTACACTCACCTAATGAAGTGTAATCAGACCTGTTCTGAGGTGTTGAAGCTGTAACATGCTAAGCTACTCCTACCTGCTACTGTGACACCTCTACACACCATACCTAACAGTTTATTAGTTAAATGTTGACACTGTCATAGTTTTAAATACCACTATAATTTATCTGTTTTAGCTGCTAATCGCACAGTCCTAACATTTCAAACAAAATGGTCATGTTATTACAGGCGTGTTCTCTGGCTATGAGTTTTCTTTCACCATGTCTTAATCCTTTCATTAGCTTATGTCAGTATATTGGATTGTGATACCATCAAACTCGTTTTGATATACACTGAGCTGCTATGTAGGTTTTAATGAAAAAATGCAGACATTTGGTTATAAAAACATAATAATCCATCCAAAAGGCGTTAACTATTTAAACAACACATCTTGAGTGCAAGGAGTCCTTAATACTTGGATGTTTTCAGGCCCTGAATTGTTATTTTGCTTAAGTTAATTTAACATTCATCTCAGCTGAACTGCTGGTTACCACATGCTTGAACTGACAAAATATTTTCACAGTGTAAAGTTGAAATCTGGAATAGTGTATTGTTAAGCTTGTCTGTTGTAATTCCATTCTGCGCTTT